GGCAGGCAGGTAGGTAGGTAGGTAAGACAAGAAACAAAAACGAGACGGCGAGCAAGATACATATGGATGTCGTACGTATATACATGACACATGAACACACCCACACACACTGCGAGAGAGCCAGCGAGCGAGCGAGTATCGCGAAGTCTCGATATCCGGTCTTCCTAAGTTCCCGGTCGCCTTGCCCCAGTTCGCTGCCCAGGACAACTGGGCCTGCGGTGACAAGTTTGGGAAAATGGGAATTTGGTCTTGAGTTTTAGGGTTGTCTGATCTGCTTGGCAACGACAGATTATGTATCCTGCTGTCACGGTGAGAAAAGGCAATGCTGAGCTGGTCATACACAACGATATCTTGAGCAAAAGAGCTGGAATCAGGGTTTGGAACCGCCCCTGCCATCATCGTTTGCATTTTGCCACACCCGCAAAAAGAAGGCAAAGGTATCCTTCGTTTTGGGGGTCGTGATCTTATTGCTCCAAGGGTGATGCCGCCGTGCGGATCCGCAGTCAAGAATGCTCGCTTTCGTTTCCCGAAGGCTCCGTGGACAAATGTCGTATATACGTTGGCCTTAAAGTGCCCATATTATAGGAAACCCTTGAAGGCCTGTGTATATACCATGTAACCCTAAACCCTAAACCCTAAAACCCAAAAGCCCTACACCCTAAAACCCTAAAACCCCAAAGCCCTAAACCCCTAAAGCCCTGAACCGTATTTGTATGGGCACATGGGGCCTCAGGGTTTCCTGAACCGTGAAGCTGCCGATATACCCCAATGAGGCTTGGACCCTCGTGCCTGTGACAATCGGGAGATCATATAGGGGCCTTAATAATTAGAATAGGGTTTTGGGGGCCCATTATCTTATAATTATGATGAAGAACCCACCCCCGAAATAGTATAGGTAATTATTAAGGCCCCTACATTACGGCGCAGCTCCGGTCACACCGTAGGCTGGAAGCCTAGGGATGCTACGACTAGATATCAGGACCGGGACTACTCTCAGCCGGAAACCCAAAAGTCTACTTGAGCGAAACCAAAAGGATCAGGCAACTTAGTAAGCGGGGGTATAAATACCTCAGCTAGGGCTTAGGGTTTATGGTTTAAGGTTTAAGACTTAGGGCTATAATAACCTATAAGCAAATCTTACCTTACTTGCTATAGTCCCCTCATCCTCCAAGCCACCCCACCCTAAAAGCCTGCAGTCCGCCAACGAGTGCAAAACCCTCAAAGCAGGATGTTCGCAGATTTTGGGAGTCCGACAACCGGTGTAAGCAGAAACGGCTGTTACACCCGACTCATCATGGTGCCTAAGACAGATGCTCAGGATTTAGGGGGTCCAGAACACATCATGGTGCCAAAGAAAAGGAATTGAAAGCAAGAGGTCCCTCCACCCTACACCAGAAATTAGCTGCAGCGAAGTTGGTTTCGCATACTTGGATTTGATCCGCTGCTGTACCGAATGTTGCTCGACTTGCTTCGAATTATTCCAGTTTGAGGTGCCACGCAAGTGCAGATTGTTTTCGATGGACGCGGCGGCTTGCAATGACTTTAGGTATAGGGTTTGTGATGATTTGCATGAAACGCTGCAACTTGGACGATTTGGGGACTGAGCAGGGGTGGGGAGTACGGTGCTAATCTCTAGATGTAGGAAAATTTGGGCCGTGGGCTTGAGGTAGCTCCATGGTTCATAGGGCTCTTAGGACTACGTAGGGTTGAAGGCAGTTGAGGGAACATCGATGGGACCCACGTCCGACCCTAACTCAAGAAGTCTCCCGACCCTTCAAGTACTTCATCCACAGGCTAGTTCAGGTGGATACTCACGAACAATCGGATTCTTAGAACCCAAAGCCCACAAGCATAAATCCAGAGAACTTAACTCCGACATTCACCAATCAACTCGGACCAGTGTACGGACTGTACGGGTGTCTCGGAGAACTCAAGGATCCTCTAGAGCAGGGTGCCTTTGGGGGGGCGGTCTTGTTTGGTAAGGGTGCCGGACTATATTATATTGGGGATCTACAAGGGAGACCCTAGCTTTCAGAACTACCCATACGCACTCTGAACCCTAGGATCCTCCGCCCTGATTGCTGAGCCCTGAACCCTAAACCGAACACCCTAAGTCCTGAACCCTAAACCTTGCGCCCTTGTTTAGGGATTCGGGTTGAGGGTTTAGAGCGGCCAATCCACTCTAAACTGACCTCACGCCTCGAGATGCGGGGGCAACTGGAGCAACACTGCGCGGGAGCGATCTGATCCATGCAGGTGCCTTGGAAGGACGTAGCTTAATAACATAGTTGTAATTAAATGTAAAATACCAATACACATGTGTATATATATATATATACACACATAGCAAGTAAAACGTAGATAACAATATAAAGAGATAAACAGGCAGGCAGGCAGGCAGGCAGGCAGACAGCTGGAAAGAAAGAAAGATAGACAGATAGGTAGGTAGGTAGATAGATACGGAGATAGGCAGACCGACACATAGATAGATCTAGATAGACAGATAGACAGGCAGACACACGGATTCATACATGCTCATAGATAGATGGGAACTCGAAGATAGATAGAGTGCTGGTTTACGCAAGGGTTCAGCGCTAATTAGGGTTGTAAGTGCAAGTTCTAGGTTTTTTGGGACGTTGGTCGTACACGCCTGCCATCAGGCTCCATGAGCAACGACGAGCCTTGGGGAAATGCTGACGCATTCAAACCCATGCCGAGATGCCCCGTACTACTACTGACAGTACTACAGGGTCCCCGGAACCTTCTCGTAGAGTGCAACAGTCCAAACACGTATAAATGTAGGAGGCTAAACTAAAATCTTTCCCTGTCTCTCTCTCTCTCTCCCCCCGTCCCTCTCTCTCTCTCACTCCCCGCCCCTCTCCCTCTCTCTCCCCGCCCCTCTCTCTTTGCTTTGCTAGGGGTTAGAGTCAGGAGGAGTCACCTCCCAACCCGCGCCGAGGCGCATCCCCATCCACCATTTTGGCAGAGGGGCTCAGCTATGCAGCGGAGTGTCTAGGTGAGCACCATGTACCCCATGTAGGGGTGTTCGTGTGCTAGCAGAAGTGTGTGCCACTATTTCCGGCAAATCTGTGTGTACTGGGGCTGCGTCAAAAACATGCCTGAAGTACCGGCCCAGAAGAGGCTTATGCTCGTTGTGGGCACACCATTCTGTTGGTTAGGAGAGAGGAAACGGAGGGCGCCCCGAGTACAAATTAGTAGGTGAGAAGACAGTAACCCTGTAGCAAGAGCGTCTCTCTCTCTCTCTCTCTCGGTTGAGGGTTTAGGGTTGAGGGTTTAGGGTTTAGAGTTGAGGGGTTTAGGGTTTAGAGTTGAGGGCCCTGAACCCTAAACCAAAACCTAAACACACTAAACCACCCCAACCCCATTCTAGGAACCCTTCAAGGATCTTTATAGTTAGTAATCTCCCTCGAGCTGAAGCCTCCAAATCCAAAGCGAAGGGTCCGAAGACGCCCCCCCCCCACCCCCCCCACCCCCCCCCACCCCCTCTTTTGTTGCGGGGCCTTCTCCAAATCAAGGATTACAGTGTCTAGGAGTTCTGTTACATGAAAATGGCTTGTTTTCTGGAACACCCTTCTAAAGCCCTTCATAAAAACGATATGAGAACCCTATAAACCTCTAGTTGAAACGCTTACAAACCCCTATAAACCGAAGCTAAACCCCGTTCCAAGCCGAGTCGACTGTAGGAGCGCGATGGCCGTGACCTGCACAGAGACGTCCTACTTAGATGTTCAGGGGTTTAGGGTTTCAGGGTTTAGGGTTTGCGGTCTTGGGCCATGTGTAAAGTTCTGGAAAGTTGGGATTTAGAGTTTTCGAGATCTGGGGCATTTTAGAGTCGAAGGTTCTGACGGGCGAGAGTTTTGAGGTATGTAACTAAAAATGCAGAGTACCTTGCATTGGGCTCTGGAGTTATATATGTTTAGCGTCTGGGGATTTGGATGGAGGCGCTCACTTTTCCGGGATCAGGACTCTGCTTGCATATGTTCCGGGGCTGTGGATACTGTTTTGGGTCGTAAATACGAGTCTGCTTCGGATCTAGGTAACCCTGAACCCCAGACCCTAGGTATCCTGGAACCTTGAGTCATCCGAGGGCCGAACATCACAAACATGAAGCACCCTAAATCTCAGACCGCGACATGACATGGGTACCCTGCAACCTCGGCTCAAGGATATGTGCAGCTTAACGGGTTTAGGGCTTGGGGCTGCTACGGTTTGTAAGTTCCATGGATCTCAGACAGACATTATGGTGCTACCAGCACCTCAAAACAGATGATCGGAGTCTGGGCGCGTAATTAAAGTACTCAAGATGGCGCGTCGTAAAAGGTGCCAACCCCTAAACTCCAAACGTGACAACCCTGATCACCTAGGCTCTAAACCCTAAACCCTAA